GGTGGCCTGTGGCCAACACCCCAGCGGCGGGTGCCGGTCGGACCTGCGGCCACAGACCCGTGTGCAGCCCGCCCGCGAGAAGGATACAGTTTCCAAACAGCGTCAGGACGATGAAGTAAAAGGACGAGAACATGCCTTTGCTGACGCCGCCCTGCGACTCGATCCCGTGATACATCACTGCGTTCCAGTCCTCTCCCGTCAGGATCTGCGGAGGGCGAGCACCACAGACACGCCTGCAGGGCCTCCTCGCCACGCACGCACGCTCAGGTACACATCCCCACACGTCATCCCCGACACGTGCACACACACCCTTCCCCAACGCACCTGCTCCCAGGGCCCCTGGCACACGTGCACGCACATCCACACCGCACGCTTGCGGACGAGGGAGCCCCAGAGGGAAAGGTGGCCACGCCCTTTCCTGCAGAAAAGCTTCCGGAAGGACCCGGCTGCCAACTGGGTGGGGCCTTAACATGGGGATCTGCTCAGAGCATGTCGGCAAGGCTGTCCGCGGCAACATGGAAAGGAAGCGCCAGGGAGAACACGGCGAGCGGAGCGAGGAGAGGACCGAGCTGTGAGCTGAGAAACCAGGCCGGCCGGCCGGGAGCCCGCGGTCACTGCCTCGCAGGCAGGACACCGCGGCTCCGGGAGGGCCCGCAGCTCGGGCCTCTGCCCTCCCCGCTTCCCGCCACCTGGGCCGGGGCTGACGCAATCCTCGCTCCGTGCGGAAACCCGTCTCCTTCCACTTTATTTTTGGAGAGAACAAGAGGACTGTGATGGGTTCCTGCGGGCCGCACTGAGAAGGAAACCTCACGCTGCCGTATACGCATCGGTCCCGGCCCTGCCCCCGGCCTCTTCTCAGACGGCGCGCCCTCGACCCTCCGACCCTCCGTGGAGTTCTCTCGGCTTTTGCGCACGGACTTCAGGCCACGAGCTGGGCAAGCGCGGGGCGCAGCGTCCTCTCCCCACGGGGCGATGCCCTTCTTACTTTCGCTAGTGATTTCCTACCTTAACTTCTACTTTGTCTGTTAATATGACACCAATTTGCTTTGCTGCACGTCACCTGGTTTATCTTTTAATTATGTAGGGTCTCAGGCGCTCAGAGAGCTAGGAGGAGGAACCCCATGTGCCACTCCCCGCTTCAGAAGCCGAGCGTCAAAGGTGCCGAGGTTCCCCAGGAGCAGCGCCCAGAGTTTGGTGTTGATCCCCCTGCAGCTTTCACACCTTCACTGCGCGTGTGCCCCCACAGCTCCCTCCTATTCAACAGCCTCAGGAGCCACGGATCAGCCTCTCTCTCCTCGACGTTGTCTGTGAGCCGCTCCGTGTTGACCCGCTCTCCCTGCTGCTCAGACAGACGCACCTCCTGCCCGTGGTCAGTGTGAACGTCCAGGTCTCCCCCACAGATGCTGCCGCTGTGGCGGTCACGCGGGTCTGCCAGGGCGGGACCTCCCAGCCCACCTCTCCACCTCCAGCAGGAGCCGCCTGCGCCAAGCCCCGTGGACCAGATAGGAAACTGCTCTCAACACAGCAGTGCGTGAAGGAATCCTCGTCCTCCACATCGTCTCTAAAACCGAGGATCGCTGGGTTCCCACGCCCCAGCTGCACTGGCCGAGGAAAGGCTCCCGTGGCACCCCCGACACCGGTGGCCGCCGACAGGTTTGCTGCAGCCCATCTTCTCTCCCGCGAGGGGCCGGGCGTCTCTGCCACTTCCTGCTGCGTTCTCCGTCTTGTCTCTTTGATTTGGGGAAGCTGTTGGTGCGCTCTGGACTAATCTTGGCTGGTTACTTGCTGACACTGCGGAAGTTTCTCCTAGTCCGTGGCTTTTGCTGTTTAATCCTCTTATGGTGCCTTTTGATGCACAGAAATCTTTCGTCGTCGATTGTTAATGGTTCCTCTGGGCTGTGTGCTTTTTGATTCCTCCTTCCCTGCCGAGCTCATGACGCTGCCGTCTGTACGTCCTGCAACTTCAGGTTTGCTTTTCACATTTAGGTCTTAATTCATCTGAACTGAAATGCAAATCCGGTCCCAGGAAGGAGTCCGACCTCTAGTTTCCTCTATGGATGACCACGCTGCCACGCCCTCTGCAGTGAGCGCCCTCGAGTGCTCCGTGTGCACATCTCGCTGTGAGTGAGGGCCTCTCTCTATTTCTCGTCCATCCCGAGAAACTATTTCCTTTTTCTGTTGTTCTAAGGAGCCAAGACCACTGATACCAGTGGACTCTGCGAGCTGCATTTGGGGTCAGTGTTGGGTTTTATCAGAGAAGCACCAGGCAGAATGCCCTGACCCCCGTGCCCCGAGCTGCTGACTGGACAGGCACCAACGCCCGCCCAGCTCGCCGCGCCGGCCTCTCGCGCTGGCTGTGCTCTTGCTGGAGTTCTGGTCCCACAGGTTCCCTTCTTGAATCAGTGGAGACGATGCGTCAGTCACAGCCTTTCCAATGTTAAACCCCCTGCGCTTCAGGATAAATCAAGCTGACTGTGGAGATCACGGGAAACGCCTCCAGCGGGGATCAGCCACTCCCGCGGGTGCCGTGTCTGCGGCGGCCCCTCCGTGTTCCCATCAGTTATTCCACCGCATAACGCGAGTGGGCGCTCTGCTCTCCCTGTGGTCTCTGCATAAAATTGGAGCAATTTTTCCTAAACATTCATACAACTCACCTGTAAAACTGCTGGACACGGTGGCTTAGATGGGTAGGTTTCTAACTGTTCAATTTCTGGAGTAGTTCAGGTTTTCAGTTTCTTCTTGGGTTACTTTAATGTTCTTGCTTCTTCTAAGCCAGTGGTTCTCACCCTTCCTAATGCCGCGACCCTTTCATACAGTTCCTCATGTTGTGGTGACCCCCACTTTCATTGTTACAAATTGAACATAATTAAAGCACAGTGATTAATCACAAAAACAATATGTAATTATATGTGTTTTCTGATGGTCTTAGGTGACCCTTGTGAAAGGGTCATTTGACCCCCAAAGGGGTCGGGACCCACAGGTCGAGAACCACTGCTCTAAACCATCAGTTCACTAAATGTAGAGACGTCTGGTGCTGTTAGCCCTGGGGGACGCGGCGATGGCGCCCCCACACTGTGTCTCCACATGTTTAGTCCCACCCCCCACGCCCCTGAATCACAGCTCTGCAAGGACCCAGGGTGGCAGGGACTGTCCTCCGATACTTCAAAGCTGCTTTTCCCGGGCTCCTGGCACCCTTGCTCACAGAGGCCGACCATCAGACTCGATCTTCCGTAGGAAACTGGCGTTCCAGGGCGGACTTGAAGATGTTCTCTTCCTTCCACGGCCTGGAATGGTTTTTGTTCGAGTTTGTTCACCCGCTTGGCCTCAGAGCACACTCGCTCTCAGGTGCATTCTGGAATGGTGCCGGCGGCCTCGCCCGAGTGGCTTCTGCACGCGGCCGCGCCCGTGGCTCCTTCGCAGGTGAGCCCGCCGTTTATCTAAAGAGCTGCCTTCCACCTGGGCCTGCTCGTGGCGCTCGGGGCCCGTCTGCCACGCTGTGTGACCAAGTCCTCCCGCTCACCCTCCGAGGACCTGGTGCATATTCTTTCTCACCCGCGTTTGTCCCATCACCTCCACGTCCCCGGGAGAGCTCGCCTCAAACTAGGTGTCCGTGGCCCCCCGGGAGGGGGGCCTGCCACATGGCCTGGTCTGCAGGTTCACCGTGAGAGGGGACTCAGCCCTGGGGCTCAGGCCTCTGGTCCATGACCATCCTGTGGGCCTCCCGCAGCGTCAGCGCTCCTCGGCCTCCTCTGGGCCCCGTCCTGCGAGCGCAGAGCTGACCGATCCTGCCTCTTCCCAACCGCGGGGTGCCTGGGCCCCACGCCCGCACTGCGGCAGGTCTCAGCCCCCAGGTGCTACTGTCCGTGGGGCGAGGCCCTTCGATTCTAACCATTTACGTCACCTCTATGCCAGCGCACAGGGCCCGGGTCCAAACCCGAGCACCATCCATCAGACCGTCCTTCTCTCACTCCGGCCCTTTGCCCCCTGGGTCCCACCGCCGCCGCGTCCAGGTCCTTCCTAACGACAAGCACAGCAAAGCAGCTCTGACTGCGCTCACGGCGCCTCTGCTGGGGAGCCCTGGGGCCCAGAGGCCCCCAGGCTGGTGCCCCCCTTCTGCCACGCCCGCGCTCCTTCCTGCTCTGGCGGACCCGCCCTGCCATCTCCCCTCGCCTGGCAGTCAGCATCCCAGTGGCCAGCTGGCCCGTGGCCTAGAGACAGAGGGCGCTCCTGCCGGGCACAGGGCATGTCGTGCTTGGGAAAGGCCATGGCCTCCCTCTGCCCGTGGCCCAGCGTGGACACCTCTCCTGTGCCCCAGACGAGGACCCTCCTTCCCACCGAGTGCTAGCAAGCTCCGGGTGCCCGGCTGTAGGAGCCAGGGCCGTGAGCATCAGAGGGCGCGGCGTGGGCGAGGTCGAGACAGTCTCAGAGCGACTGCGGGTGAGGCTAGACTGGAAGCGGGAGGGGACAGGCCGGGTCCCCCTGGCCAGAAGCAGGAGTCGCCTGGGCGAGGCTGGCTCTGCTCGGCCAGGACTGAGAGGCTGCGGGGCTCCCACCGGGACGGGCGACGGGGGTCGTGGAGGGAGGTGTGTGAGCGGGTCCCTCTCTAGTCGCCCAGCCTGGTTGGAAGGCCCCGTCCCGGCAGGCGCCGTGGGCTCCAGCTTGGGGTGAGGCCGCAGCCCCAGGGCCAGGGGCCGCTCAGAGCCCCTCCTGCACGTGCATCTGCCAGGCGCCCGAGAGCCAGCCCCCACGCTGCTCGGCTCAGGCCTGCCGCCCCGGGTCTGTGGGACAGAAATGGCTGGCAGGGGCGTCTGTGGAGCCACAGCCCAGAGGGTAAGTGTTCGAGCAAGAGGGTCCTCCGGGGAGCCCTAGTCGCACGGAGATGGGGTTGGGGGGCACCTGCAGACAGGAGAGGATGACAGCGAGCTTGGGGCGCTTTGCTGTTTATTCTCAAAGAATAAACAGCCGCTGGGTCCCGGGTCCTTGGGACTGAGAGGCGGCAGCAGAGCTCCCGTGGGCATCACAGGACATGGGCCCTGCGTCCCGCCCTCCCGTCACGTGTGGAGAGATGGCGGGTGGGCTGTCTGCGCTGCAGAGGCCTGAGGAGGGACAGGAGGGCGGCCCTCCCAGCCCAGGAGAGCCGAGCAGGACAGAGGCCTAGGCTGGGGCCTTACCTGGAAGACAGTGAGGATGGCGGCGGGGAAGGTGTCAAAGTTGGTTGTTGGAGTCTCTTCTTTAAAGTTGAACCTGAGAAAAACAAGAAGCCTGGAGAAAGGCAGCCCATCAGGAGCCAGGACCTGCCCCGCGGCCGCAGTGCCCTTACAGGCTGCGTGTGGGTGACCTTTAGGTAGAGGCGGCTGGGCCAGCACCACTGCTCTGAGCACACCCCCGCCCCGGGCATGTACTGTCCCCCGAACAGCTGCTCTGAGCACCCCCCTCCCCCCGGCACGTACTGCCCCCCGAAGAGCTGCATGCCCAGCACCCTCCTCCCCCCGGCACGTACTGC